GTCAAATGGACTTATAGATAGACGTTTAACCCACGTATTTGAGTGTGTGYGTAAAAATTCATTCAATTGATTGTCGATGTGTCAAAAATTATTAGAAAAACATTAATGATGATAAAAACAATTGTGGATACACGAATAACAGATATATAGGTAAACTGTATTTAAAAAAATGGTTGACGTACATGTTATGTGAGTTGTGCCACGCATTAAAGAAATAGGTATATTAATAAATATTGCAGTGGCACCGTGAACTTATTATTTCAATGACGCAGTAAATAATTTTCAACACCCACCTACTCACCCACGTTTTATATAAACACCAAAATATTAAAAAAAGATAAAATACTCAAAAATATATAATATTAGATTGTTTATTCAATATATATATATATATATTACGTGTGTGTGTGTTTAGCATAACCTAACTTTAAAATAAGCTCCTAACTACAAACTCAACTACTAATGTCAACTTTTAACACCCCAACCAACCCACCATTTTTTTTCGTGACGCAACTGTGTCGAATCAACCCCGTTCACGCCGCCACTGATAAATACTATATAATAATATATTATAAACTATGACGCGTCTTAAAGAGTAAATTACGTAGGTATAATTATGAGGATTAATGGTTGATAAACTATAGACGGAAGTCTATATTTAATATTTCTATATAAAGTAGATTACCTACTACACATTGTTGTTGGCTTATAATTTAGTTACTTGTATAAAATCAAAATATCTATATAGTTTTAAAATAACTTTATCTGCAAACAGTTATAACCCTCGAGTCATACATAGATGAGATATTTTTCATAAATGTTTTTAAAACCAAAATTATTGTATGACATCATACCTTATTTTAATATTTCAAACATATTGTGTTTGACGCGAAATTTTATTCTTAAATATCGATTCGTATCCCCTTCGTTTACAATTTTTCTTGTGCCACGATTTAGTATACGAAATTCGTATGAATTTGTATGACTGTTTTCGAAATTTGTACGACCATCGTTCGGTGGCAATCGCGAATACTAAAAAAACGGCGTCACCCCAGCCCCACCCCTCATCTAAGTTTTTGTGTTTTTGGATTTTTTCTTGTGTCACGATTTAGTATGTAATTTGTATGAATTTGTATGACTGTTTTCGAAATTTGTACGACCATCGTTCGGCGGCAATCGCGAATACTTAAAAAACGGCGTCACCCCAGCCCCACACCTTCAGGGGTTTTTGAATTGTTTGT